CACATTTATCTTCCTCCGATGGATATGTATACTATCTTCTGTTAGTACCCAATTTTGATAGATTTTGATGATGCCACTATACTTAGCACCTGTACTTTGTGTCTTATTCAATTTATTAGCTTTTATATTAATTCATAAAAGTGACAAATAAATGTACAATTTTTTAGACTAATAAAATTATACTGGAAATTTTAAAATGCAATAAGGTAATTTTTATTTACTTTAATAGGATATTTAAATCCTACCAGTATAAATCTATCAGCTCTCAAAAATTAAATTTGTCACAAAAACTTAAGTTACATAGGTTCGAAACACATATACATTGAATGTATATAATTGAAGACAAAACTTGACCAGCAGTAAATGCTGGATCAAGTACATGGGATCCGGCACATAGATAACCTTGAAGTGATCCAAATAATGAAGACAACCTCAATAAATACTCCAGCACAAGAAGACGAATAACAACTCGTCATTGACAGATTTTCAACGACAAAGATTAATTCATCTCAACCAACGGATGAGATTAATCAACTATGGAGGCCTATAAATATAGGCAGAAGCATGAGTTCTAAAACCAAGCCTTTGAGCATCCTAAGTAGAGAAATACTTCCATTGAGCAGTTACGAGCTATCTAGCAAAAGAGAAAGTGTGAAATTATACTTTACTCTCTGCTTGGACTCATGCTTCACTAAACTTCAAAGTCACAAGTCTTTATTGATAAATCCTAGAAGTTTAGTTCCTAGTTGGAGGTTAGAACTTTCTTGAACATTTCATAAATTGTTGTAAACACTTAGGAGAACAGTTGTTTGAATCCTAATGTGTGGTTAGATAGATAGAGTACCTTTTGATCCCCACTGGATCAATTGAGAAAATTCTAAAGGATTGAGTAACTTGGAGTGATGTTGTACTCCCTGTGAAACACCTTCAATCTAGACCTGAGTGTTGTAAAGGCTAGATTGGCACTAAGTGTATTGGGCTTAATACTTTAGTGGAAATCCATCTGAAAGAGGGTGGGACTGGAAGTAGGAGGATTACACCACCTCTGAACCAGGATATACTGTGTGTTGATTTACTCTCATTCAACAAAGCACACACCCTTCACTTCTCACAAAAAGATTGTAGTTTGTCAGCAACATCCTAAGCAGTAGTCTTAACTGACCCTACTGCTTATCCTACTGCTTAATTACTTACTTTCTTTGAGACATCTCTATATTTAAAAAGCCTCACAATATCACTACAAAGAAGGTTTTTCAAATAGGTTTCTGAGAATCAGACTGTTACTCAGCAGGTGCCTCAGCAGTTCTCTAGTAACCACCCATCTGCCCAGACCACTGCTCCCATAAAAACTTCCACTTCAATTCATCTCAGCTCACTTCCAGAAAGCTCTAATCACCCTAAGCAAGATTATACAATCAGTCTTCCATATTTTCATTTTTCCTTAAGCAGTTGACTCAACAATTCCCTGGTGACCATCCAACTGCCGAGACCACTGCTCTCATAAAGTTCAAATCTCAACCCATCTCAGAACATATACAGAAAGCTTTCATCATTCCTAGCAAGATCCCATAATCAGATTTCTCACACAGACATACTCTATAGCAGTTGACTCAGCAGTTCCCTGCAGTTTACTCAACTGCTCAGACAACTGCTCACTCAAACAGGGTTCAAAACTCCATCTATATAGAAAATTACTTTGCACAAGAGGTCAAGACTTCCGCTGTGCATTTATAATCTCTCAAAAAGATTATAGATCTGCCTATCTAGAAGAGAAAAGTCTTAAAGTTGAAAAAGCTTTAAAAGTCTATTCACCCCCCTAGACTTTTATCTCTATCCGGGACCATCATCTTCCACACTAGGACTAAGCCTAAATTGGGTTTTATTAAAGTTAATATTGCTACTTGATGGAGTATATGGCCCAGGAACCCCCGGCCCATAGACTCTTACTTCTCCTACAAAAGTCCATTGAGCCCAGAGAACAGCTCAGTCCCAAATGCAACGGCCCAAGCCTCAAAGTAGCCCAAAATACACACTGGGGTGCCTTCGGCCTCCTTGGCCGAAGGCTCCAAAACTCGCAGGATAGCCTTCTCTGGCATAAGAAGCTATTGGGAGAAAACGGCGAGAAACATGAGCCTTCGGCATTATCAAGCCCTCGGCATCAGAGAAGCCTTCGGCTGAACCAAGCCTTCGGTCACACAAGGCCTTCGGCTACACAGGGGTCCAAGGTCACATGGAGCCCTCGGCTACACAAGGAGCCTTCGGCCAAACATGCTCAATCATCGAAGATTCCTTTTGGGGACAACCAACCACCGCATTTAATGCCACGTCACATCCGCCAACCGCATTCAATGCGGTGAACGTACCACTGCCGGTGCCACCCGACTGATGTGACCCCTCGGCCGTCGGATTACTGACACATGTACTCTCATCGCATTTATTGCTGCTATAAATAGCAGCCCATTTCTCCTTGTAAACGATCGACATCCCAAATTCCACGCGCTGAGTTCATTTAATAAAATCGACTCTCTCTCCTCCTATTTACTCTGACTTCTCTCTAGTTATTCCCCCAGTAACCCCTCGGATAGGATACCCTCCGGGTAGACTATCCATCACTACTAGATTTTCTCCACACTAATATCGTGATATCAATTTTTTTGCTAGAGATTCCAATGATTACTACAAAGGGCACGCTAGTCATCTTGGCCCCACTAAGGACCTGACTGCCGCCCTTTATGATGCCATTATTTATTTCAGACCCTTTTTGGATTAACTTCCAGCAACCAACTTTATCATTGAACTGGATAACTCACATGTATGTGCTTCTATTCGAGGAGAAATATTGCACCATTGGACTCACTGGAAAAGTTGCACGCGTATAAGAAGTCAATACAACTCCAACCATTTTGCTTTCAGATCTATTAATGCTCCTGCTAATCGGGCGACTGTATATATTGCTTTTAATAAAGTTAGAATTAGTCAATCCCAACAGCATTGTAATCAATTTGTAGGCATCCTTAAATATGATTTCATTAACTACCATTATCCCTAAATTTTAATTGGGCTCAGCCTATTTACTTTCCCTATGTAATCTCTTTTTTAATAAAAATAAATAAAAAACAAAAAACAAAAAACAAAGTCATATGATAAATGAATAAAAGAGTACATAAAACGGTAAATAAATGAAAAATAAGAATAAAATCATCGGAGGATAAAGAAAAAGGAGTGAAAACTTTTAAGAAGATAACTTTTGTAAATTTGAAATTTATTGTTTAATGAGTTGCAAAAAAAGAAAAGAAAAATCCGGAATAACAAATCATCAACCGGTCTGCAGGGACCAACGAAATAAGCTGAGAAGAAAAAATGGGACTATTATGAGACTATGGTTATGTGGGACTATTCTAGTAAGATTAGTAAAATGTGAAAGTATTAGTTTCCATTTTTTCCAAATAATAATGAACAAAAGTTGTTAGTAGACAAAATTGGTTTTCATTTTTTCAGCTCTGTGGTGTTCAAAAAATAAAATTTTCTACCTTTTTAGGCCATGTCTGGCCCACCATATCAGCTAAAAAGGACTGAAATATTTAAATTGCAGTCAATTTTGATTAAAGTATTGTTTGGTTGGGGGACTGAAGTGGGCTTGAGCTGGGAAAAAAGGAACTGAAATCAAACGTTTGGACATGTAGCGTTTATATTCAACCGGCTAATTCCAGACTTTACATACCCGTCGTATCCCGTATTAGATGGTGGTGCGGTGGTGCCTAGAAACCTAAATATCTCCACTCATAGATTGACATGTATTCAGGTTAGAATAACACAAATGCAAATTTCCCACCTATAAATAAAATTTGCACCGAACGATATGATTTGAAGCATCAAAGATGTGATTTTTTTTTTGTTTTCGGTTAATTGGATGGGAAGCTTCTATAGGAAATCACTTAGTTTTCACCAAATGGTCAATAGCCCATTTGGTGATATTGTTATTGAGCTTATCAACTTTATTAGTCGCAGTTTTCATCAAACAAGTAACCATTTCACGCGTGGAAGACATTTTAACTATTAATTATATACTAGTAATATTTTATTTATTTTACTAACAAAATATATTTTATTTTATTTTCAATTTAACAGAATCAGCTAATTCAGCCACTTCCGTCAGAATTTCATAAATTTCAGCAGAATCAGCCGATTATGCCAATTTCAGTATTATCAAACTGGTTATAAATAGACGTTCCACTTCTTCAGAAAAAGTTACACAATACTCCCTCCGTCCCGGAAAATTGTTCCCGGTTTCCTTTTTGGGCCGTCCCAATAAATTGATTCACTTTCCCCTTCTGGAAAGTTTTTTGTGGCTACAATTCATTTACCTTTTTCTTACACAACCACAACCATACATTTCCACTTTATTCTCGCTTTCTTAAACTCCGTTCCAAGTCAATGCGGGAACAATTTTCCGGGACGGAGGGAGTATAAAGTTCAGGGAAATGGAAAATGATAATCCCGCCTTTACCGGTCTTCCTAGAATTGTCAATTGTCTCACCTAACCTCAATCTCATTATAATCTCACTCTTTCACTTCATCTTCTTTGTTCAACATTTCTGGGATTTTCCCTTTCTTTTTGCAAATCATTAAACTATAAATCTCATATAAATCTTCTCAAAATAATATGGAGTATTACATATGATTTTTTATTCTTTTTTATACGTGTACTTCTTAACTTTTTTCTGGGTATCATATACATTTACATTCATCCAAAAAAAAGTAGAACCGGAGTTTCCAACATTTTTAAAATGACAAAAATTATTAGAAAAAATTTATTAAATAGGACCAAAAGGAAGATAAAGCACACAAAAAATCGGTGATTTTCTTCCTGAAGTTAGATTTATTAACCTTTAATTAAGAAAATTTTACACTTAAAAAGATCAAATAAGTACCATTTTGGAAACAAAAACAGTTTATCCATTTGTGCAATTTAGTTTTAATTCTATTTGCGTAGCTCAGCATGACTAGAGCATTATGACACGGTCGAAGATGGATGGAAAAGTAAATGGTGGGGATGGGGAGGAGAAGGGATAAAACCGAATCAGGCCGCACACAGGAATCCGTCCGTCTCCATGCCATGGCCCAGCCCTCGCCCCTGGTTTTCCTTCCCCGAATCAGCCGTTCCTGTTCCAACATTTATCCCAGGCTCACCATTTGTCCCTCTCTCCATCCGTATTTCCATGTCCATATGACCCACCCCAGGCACCAATACCTGTCATCCTCATCAAGTCACCTTCTTCCATCAATTCGCTACATGTTTCCAAAATAGATCAGCACCACATTCACATTTACATATCAAGATATTCAAAGGAATCGGATCACTACTTATATCACTCCTATTTACGCCCAAATCATATATGGCCGCGAGTTTTGTTTGACCCGCATCCAATCGCCCACACTTATGGACCTCCTTTGATCGAGCTGTACCACGTACACTCCTTGAAAAAATTTGATATTGTGTTGGGAGTTCGTTTCTGATCGATGCTCCTTGACAATGGGGACTGTCAAAACTGGGAGTGATCGGAAAGGTAAGAACGGCGTAGCCAGAAAACAGCGGAAAGGGCAGCAGAGAGTGGGGCCGGCGGCGGTTCAGAATTTGTATGATACCTGTAATGAAGTTTTTGCCGATTGCAGTCCGGACATCGTGCCGTCGCCGGAGAATGTTGAACGGGTCAAGGCTATATTGGGTATTATTCTTTTTTCCTCTCAACCTTAAGAAAGTAAGATTTATAAATGCTATGCTTAAAAATGTTTAAGAGTATTATGGTTAGTTACTTATTTGCGTTTTGACTTGATATCAACATTTCTAACTACCGACTACATTTTCCGGCGCTTGGAACTTTATCAAATTTGACCAAAGTAAAAACTGTTGGGTTTGTGAACTTTATAGGAAAAATTCTCGGTGTCCACGTTGTTTGGGTAGATCTTTGACACACTTGTCTAACATAGATACAGACAACTCTGTGAGATCCTATAGAGTTGTCCGTATACAAACAAAAAACGTGTACACGAAGCACGTCTCTTTCTATAGAATGAGAAAATACAAGGAATCACAAATAAATTAATTGATTAGTGAAAAGAGTTTAATTGATTAAAGGGAATGTTTTTAATTGATTAAAGGGATTGTGACAAAATTTTGTAAACAATCAAAAAAGGAAAGGTGTAGTTTTTTGAAAAAAAATACATTTAAGGTGTTTGTCTCCTGAAAAATCAGGGACAATGTAGGGGCTATGTAATGGCTTTGCGCAGCTGCATTTACATGATGCATTGAAATGTTCAACTTTTGGTAAAAAAATTGATGGAGAACTTTTCATATTGAATATTTGAATACTGAGGAGATTGATAATGACGCTGTACTTCTTGCAAGTTATTTGCTCTTTTAGTGTTTATTACAAACAAACAAATGATTTGACTAAGAAGCTAACTGATATGAGGAGTCCTGTATCTGAAGCTAAATGAGTTACGTAGTATATTACTCGTATTAGGGAGTGTTTGGATTATAGATGGACTGGGCTCGCCCGGCCCGGGACCGATACCCAGACGGATGGTTGTAAGGGGCTCCGGGCCCAACGGCTATTTTTTTATTTTTTTTAATTAAATGGATGGGTACCGACTCAAGCCCGACTCGGATCCGGTATTGTTTGGGCCCGGACCGGTACTGTTGGTACCGGCCCGGGCCCGGGTTTCCTGGACCGGTACCCGGACCGGTGGTTATAAGGGGCTTCGGGCCCAACGGCTATTTTTTGAATTTTTTTATTAAATGGATGTGTACCAACTACCAACTCAAGCCCGACCCGGGTCCGGTACTGTTTGGGCCCAGACCGGAACTGGTACCGAAGCATACCAAGCCGGTACCGGGCTCCACTTTTCCAGAACCGGTACTGCTCGGGCCCGGGTCTGACCCGGGTCCATCCCTAGTTTGGATCTACTTCTTACTTTCTTAGTTTGCAGAATATTTATGGATGTTCCAAATTGCTCCTAGAAATAGTTTTTTAGAAGTTGAAAGTGACCGACTATTGAAAAACTGATTGTGATTATGTTTTTAGTAGAAGCAAAGTCAATAATGTACTTCTCTTAAGATCTGAATAGTACGCACCAGTTCCTCATGAACGTGACGTGCCCTGAACTATACAAGGGCGTCTTATTGTGTCAGTACATAATTGTCCACAAACCACTTTGACTTTCATAATTGTTCATACATAACTTTGAGTGTTAATACATTTCGATGGGTATTACTAAAAACATATAGAAAATATATATTTTAAAATTGATACTCGTATGTGGCAAGTAATTAAGAATGAAGATAATGTTTTTTCGTGGAAGACAGAAAACATATGACCGTGTTTATTCTTGTAGAATAAGTATGTTGATGAGGTGGATGAATAGGATGCAGCTACCTTTTAAATTGATCCCATTTTACAAGGAAGCTTCATCATTTTCATCAACCTCATAAAAGCTCTCCACTTTCCCTGATTTTTTATTTTGTTTTGGGCAATCATGCACATTTTCTTTAAGATTGGCTTATTTACAATGTCTCAAAAACAATTATTCGTGAGTGTTATAGATGAAATGTCCGGGGTAGACGTTGGCCTATCGCCGTCCATGCCTTACTTCAAGCCAACAGGAAGTGATAGGCCATCAAGAATCACATATATGGGCATTCATGAGTGTGACAAATTCTCAGTATGTATTGTAATTATTCTTATTATGCACAACAAACTTTTTTTGAGGCAGATAGGGCCTGCATGAGGCTTTGACCGTTAGGCAGGCCCACACGGTCACTACCCTCCTGCCCTCATATCGTTCACTACTTCACTCAACTTAAGTGCATATGGTGATGTTTTTTGCAGATAGGAATCTTTTGCTTGCCGCCATCGGGCGTTATACCACTCCACAACCATCCCGGAATGACAGTCTTCAGCAAGATTCTTTTTGGAGAAATGCATATACAGTCATATGACTGGGCGGATGGTAGCCTTGCTGATAGTACTCTGAGTAAGTTGTTAATTTAGATATTTTCCTTTTGCCGCTTAAGACTTATGTAGGGATAATGATCCAAAACAAAACTAAATGAGAATCAAATTCTAAAAATAGGAGTACTATTTTGAGTATGCATGTTAAGAACTAAAAACAAATGAAAGTTCCAAAATAATCTTATTGCCATGGAGGTGTATAATAATGTCATCATTAGTCATTACAACATTATAAGCTATACTCTTATTAACCAATCTAAAATTGCCATCTTCTAACATTAGTGCCATATTGATTATAAAGAATGTTATCTTAATCGGCAAAAAATGTCACCTTCACTGACACAAAAACTACATGAGATTAAAAAACGAAAGGGAAAAGGAGAATCTGGAGGAAGTCATACCCTGTTAATCAAGCCATCTCTTCTTCAGACTGAGGGAATGCTTATGAATGGTGGGGAAGACAATGGTGTGGATCTTGGTCTTCTTCTCCGATCATGTTCTTCACCAACAATATGCTTACCTATCGTCCACCACATCTAACCATATTTTGTAGGGGCAGCCACATTCCGTCGCTCTAATGTTGCTTCCCCAGAGACAGATTTTGAATGATGGAGAAGAAGTCTTCTTGAAAGAAGATGATTGGAGAATGACACAAACCTTAAGCCTTTAGTCACCGTCTCTATTTTAATGGCAATCGAATAGTGAGGGAAGCGAGTGATGCCATCCATGAAAGAGAAAGAGAGACAAGGAGAGGGAGCACGAATACACCATGAAGGAAAGGGGAGAGAGAAGGAATGGAGTAAAGGGTAAAAATGTTATCATAAGTTCTATTTGGGTATTTGATTTTTAATAATTATTTACTCCTGTTTGGATTCATTTCTCTTTTCTATATTGGAAGCGCTATTATTTGAAGGTGGGATAAAGGGGGGTCGGACGTACGTAGTCTTACTAAAGCATAGAGAGACTGTTTCTAGATGATCCATAGTGAAAATCGCGCCGAAAATTGCATGGAGTGACTGACGCTTCATAACAAAGAAGCGCAAACAGTATAGTGTGTCATTTTGCTTTATTCCATCATATTCTCAAGCCAAAAAAATAGTGAGTCTTTGGCTCCATTGCAAATGATGTAAACTCCATTGCAAATGATGTAAACTTTGGTGAATAGGTTCAATAAAAAAAATACTTCTTTCATCCTCAAAAGTTTACGTTAGGACTGATAATGAGTTTTTGTTTCCATAAAAAAATAAAGGTTAAAAACAAGGTTTATATTAGTGAATGTTATAACTACTTTTATACTCAAAAGGTTTTATCTACTTTTTACATGATTTTATTTACAATGATATATTTAGAAGTTAAAGTGAGAACTTTTTCGAGAACATACTTCCCTTGACTTTAAGAGACCGTTTCGTAACACATAAATTGATTAAATCGGTTGGATTTTATTAAATTGATGACATTGTTGTTGAATCTACTGAATTATGAGAAAATGATATTGGAAATATAGGTTGTTAGTAAAATAAAGAAAAAATTATGAAAGAATAGTTTAAATAGTCATATTCACTAATTTTAGTCAAATCGTACTTATTTTGAGTATTACATAATTGTACTTTTTGTCAAACCTTTCTTGTTTTGAGTATAACTAATTTAGTCCCGTTAACAAACCATACTTATTTTGAGTATTACATACTTGTATTTTTCTGAGTATTACATAATTGAGCTTACACAATCAAAGTTTACATATTTGGTAATAAAATTGATCGATAAGACAAAAATAGAGGTATCAAATGGGTTCTAAACATGAAAGAGCTGGGTTTTAAAACCAATCTGAAAATTCAATTTTTGTTTGTAACCAGATGCCTTTTCCGTACGTGTGCACAGGCAATGCTTGTGGGGTTCGTTTGGCGAAGAGGAAGGTAAATTCGGAATTCAGCGCTCCTTGCAAGAGCAGCATCCTGTACCCGGATGAGTGTAATATGCACTGCTTCAGGGCACTGACTGCTTGTGCCGTTCTCGATGTGCTTGTCCCGCCCTACGATGATCTTCAAGGCCGTCATTGTCAATACTATTTGGACTACCCCTTTGCCAACTTCTCAGGTATATTATACCAAGTACATCTCATTATTGCACCCTACTGCTACTGTCCTTCCCCTTTCATTAGAAAAAAAAAGATCGAAGCTTTCTTGTTCCAATTACGTGGCTAGATTCTAGTTGGGGTTCTCGTGTTCCCCAATGTGAATAATGCTACCCTTCAAACAACGCAAGGGGCCACTTCATCACAAAGTGGAGAAACCGCTTACTTTTACTAAGTATGTACTTTGAGTTGTGCATGTACGGTTGTCTAATGAATTTGGAGGTCCCGATTCTAAATGACGAATTGAGACCCTCTAAAACATGAAAAAATTCAAAATTAAATATGAGATAAGAGACTAGATAGTGCAATGAAATATAAGTTTTATGATGATTAAAGTAAACAAATTAGACAATTTAAAAGTTCTATACCTTTTGAAATCTTGAATAATACTCCGTACATAACATCTAGAAAAATCTACTTATAACTAATATTACATACTCCCTCCGTCCCATAGAGAAGATTTAAATTTGATATATAAAACAAAAGATTAAGAATGATTTAAGTTGATCATGTAAATAGTGGTTTGAAACCTTTGAACGAGACGGAAATAGTACTAAATTTTTGGAGACCCTCTAAAAGACTGGATTTTGATGCCAAACACCTATTACACCTCCTAAAAAACGGTTTTGGGTGCATGTTTCGTAGGAAGTCAATAGGTTTGGACTCAGTCCACGGTCTCGGACAGGTCAGACGAGAACTATACGAGGCTCCTTTTACCCCGTTCAGGTCAAAGACCGGCACTGGACCCCTCCCGTGATTTTGAGTAACGCAATATGCTGATCCGGTCCCGATTCGGGCTTTTCAATATTTTTTTGCATTATAAAGGCTTATAAGCATTTTAAAAGAGGTATAAATCCATTTAAAAGCTAAAAAGGGTTGGGAGGGATTAAAAACATAAAAAAAAAAATAAAGATCTGAGATCAGACTGGGATTGGCCGGGGACCAGAACCGGTATATCCTACCTCTAGGACTAGACCGGCCCGAAACTGAGAGCAGTCTGGGACTGGCCCATGCCTAGGCGTAAATAAAGTTTTTATTATGTATTACTTTTGTCTTAATAGTCATTGTCAAGTTAGAATTGGGTGTAAGATAAAAATTATAAATTGTGTGGTTAAAGTTTGTGCGGAAAGACAAATAAATAGAATCACAAATTAATAACATAAGAACCCGTTTGGTAACACAGAAATTGACCGAATCAATTGATTTTGATGAAATTTATGAAGTGATGGTTGGATTGGCCGCTTCTGCTGATTTATGAATAACTTATATATAAAATATATTTTATTCATAAAATAAATAAAAATTTAAGTAAAAAATAGATAAAATAGTCCTCCACAGTAACTTCAGCCAAAACAGCTAGGAAAGTAACTACAACCTCACTTATTTTGATTATTACACAATTCAGCGTGTGAAATTAAAGGTCACGTGTTTTGGTGAAAATTGGCTAAGAAAGACTGATGAGCTGAAAAATTGGCTATAAATTTAAGTAAAAAATGGCTAAAATAGTCCTCCACGTGTTTTGATTGTTCTCATTGTGAAGTTAGAATTGGGTGTAAAATAAATATATCTATATATATAAATTGTAATGCTAAAGTTTGTGCAAACGAAGGACAAATATTAGAATCACAAATTAATAACCTTAAGTCGGAATTCCATTTTAAAACAACTTCCATCTTAAAAATAATAATCTTAAATCTCAGAATTCCATTAATAATCTTTATCTTAACCAAACTCTCACGTTATACACAACATAATACTAGTACGGAGTATAAGATTCTTCGCTCTAACTATATTTTTGTAGTTAAACAAAGGTAAAAGTTACTTGAGCAAATAGAAACTTTATCGTCAAAATAAATTAGTACTCGTAAAATGTTGACCTATTTGTGATAATGAAATAGTTTTGCTTTGATTTGATGTCTCATACTTAACTTTATCGTCAAAATGAATTAGTAACATTTTGACCTATTTGTGCTAATTAAATAGTTTTGCTTTGATTTGATGTCACATACTCGCATATATAGGTGTTGGATGTACGGGTGTCTTTTGTGAGAGCACTTCTATTATTTATGAAAACCAACTTACAAGCTTGTCTTATTGTTCAACATTAGGTTGTTGTACTTTTTAAATATTTGAATAAAATGGAATTGAGAGTAGTACTAAAACAAGATTGCTAAGTTTGGTCTCCAAATTACAAATACTTTATATGTAGTCGAAGGTGAAGGTGCATCGGTTCCAAGAGTGGCCGAGGAGGAAAGCTTCGTGTGGCTCAAAGAGCGGGCAATGCCAGAGGATTTGACGATTGTTGGAACTCTGTACAAAGGACCAAAATTAGCGAAATGAGTTAATCATTCAACGAACTCTCACTGTACATTGCATATAAACTTTGGGTTTTCTCTCCTTTTTTGCCTGGTTATGCCTTAGATAAAGAGATCAGAAATAGATGGGGGGAGGAACAAACGTTTTTAATTCCCTTCTTGCTCTTATTAGTCTTGTGATCTGAATCAGCTTTGTATAGTTGAAAATGGATGAAGTGTTACATATCGTCCGTCCTTTAAAATTTAAATGTCTTCTTGGAAAAGGATTTTGTTCTTTTATCCAACTAGTATTGTACCTGTGCGATGCACGGGACAATTTTATTTTTATTGATTACACATGTAGAATTCTGTCATGCAATTAAATACACTTGTGTATTCAATTAAAAGCGTGCATATGTATGTCTTCAAGAGTCATGGCATTAATGATACAAAAGATTGTATGTAAATCAGTAAATGTGTTCTACAAACAATACATGATTGGCCTAAAGATCAACATGATCAGTGTTGCTCAACTCTAGGAATGGCCTAAAGGCGTACATGACCCTCTGGAATTCAGCATCCAGAAACTCAATCAAACTTGTTTTATTATTAAACATGATTTTAAACAGGTTAGTTGTGGTTCTGTATTTTCCTGTGTTGGGAGTAGCATAATTTTTTTAAGGAAATACAAACTTCCCTCTTTTAGTATGTGTTTGAAGTCAAGAATCAAATCCTTACGGATGGTAGCGTGGATTTGGTCCCCCTATTTTAAAAAAGTTGTTGTAGGTCATGTTGTAAACGAAAGTGTATAATAATAGTGATTTAGAACTACCTCACAATCGTGAAAAATGCATTCTAAACTATTTGGAGCAGTGTCGTGCTTGTTGAAATTTGGATAAGCATAGCACCGAACCAATCGTACTTGTAATTCCCAATCGGTCATAGATGTGTTCAACCCCAAGATTCGACTGTACAACATATTTAGAATACTTCTCTTTAAAGCTCAGACTTCCCCAAAAAATGAAAGTATTTTAATGCAAACAGCGATGCAAAGTTGCTGGATTTATTATGGCGTGTATTTACGTATATGTTTGATTTGCGGTTACCGGTAGTGAGATTAAACCGTCACGTCGAATAACCTATGGACGTATCGTGCGGCAACCGTATTTGTTCAAAAAATGTTATATATGTAACTCCTTTTTTTTGGAATTTCGTTTACTGCAGATTTTTTTACTCCGTAAATTCCGTAATATTTATCCCTTGAACATAAATCGGAGAATTTTTAGGTATAGTACGGAGTAATAAACAATGACTGGAACGTTGAATAACCTCCGCAGGCAGCTAAAGTTGGGATTTTAATTTGTGGGCCACACGACAGCCTTAATTATCTAAAGTGTATTTTTTTTATGGAGGCCCATGGCCTGCATAGTGAACTGTTGCAACTGTTCGATTGTAGCTTACCTTTCTTTTTGTAGGCGGTAGATGGTTATTGACATGGTTTCCCTTTTTATATTAGTATAAATAAATTAGTGGCCCTAATGTGCTTTTCTACCTTTTTGGGGCGCAATTGGGAGTTCTTCCTATATGTACATGTTTTGTGTTATCATCCTATAATTGTTACGTTACTTTTGTCAACTTTCTAATTCAGTTGTTCTAAAAAACTTTATATTCTTCATTTAAAATAACAAATATGTGATTAAAATTATTTTTCTGTTTTTTTTTGTACAAATTTCAACTACACTATTTTACTTAATTATTTCACTTTCAAATCCTTTTAGTCAAGCTGTTCGATGAAGTTTTTTTATATACATTTTCAAAACGAAACGATTGGACTAATGTGGTTTTATAATGAATGTAGGGGTTTTCATGCACTCAAGTGAACAATTTCGAACATGAAACACAGTTAAGTGTTTGACTTCTACTTCTAATTTTTAACTTTAAGAGCCCGTTTGGTGATCATGTTTATTGTCTTATCATACATATCAATCAAAATTTTTACAAAAAACGTAATTTTTTATTTTGCGCATTGAATTGTGTGATAATAAGAAAAAAGAAGATTGAAATTACTTTTCTGGTTGTATTGGATAGAAAATTTTTCTAACTATTTTTCTTATTTTTTCTTTATTTAATTAATAAAAATATTTTAAATATAATTTTGAAAGTGATCAACAGAATCAGTCAATCCGGTCACTGCAGCTAAAACTTCATAAATTTCAGCAGAATCGGCCAATACAGCCGATTTAATGGATACCAAACGGGCTCTAAATTGCTTAACTTTAGATAAATCACGCATTTTTAGTTTTTAAAATAAAAGCTGAAAAATCAATTAAGTAAAGATATTGTCTATTATTTGTTTTTGATAATACATATGCAAATATATTGTCTATTATTTGTTTCTTTTATATGGTTCAAATATAGAAAATATCACTTAATTTCGTGGGATTCTCATTCTTTCATCAATAATATTATACTTGTATATATTGATCCCATTAAAAGACGTGTTAAACGAATATGGTGACAATTAATCAATTATAAAGGAGAACGATGTTGAGAATTAATTTCAGAATGCAAACAAATTCACTAGAAAATAATTGTTTTTTAATATACAAACTTGAAATAATTCAATTTATTTATTTCTTGTATGCATAATGCATACCCATTCAATAGTTATTATCAATTATATAATATTATGGAGAATAACCCATTCAATACTAGTATACGCAATATTTAATTTGAGAATAACAGAATGTGTGCATACTTATAACTCAGTTATTTATGTATACTTGCTCATTACTATTTCAATTCCTTAATTCGAAATAAGCAATAATTGCTATATTGCATGTCAAAGAGATATACTGGGAAATTTCTCAATATTTGTGATATACTCCGTATTATAATCTCATAATGATAGGATATTTATACAGCTTCTTGAGGATAGAATCTAAGAAATTAGATATACAATATGTTAATCTAAATAATAGAATATCCTATTTCTAGAAAGAATAAATTACATGATATTGGTAATTAAAACAAAATCGATCTAAAGTACAACAGATGTTATTCTCAGAATCAGGAAATAAATCCACACTTCCCCTCAAGCTGGGTTGTGAATGTCAAACATCTCAAGCTTGCTAACTAATTCTTCAAAAACAGTTCTCGGTAGAGCTTTTGTAAGAATGTCAGCAATTTGAAATTTTGATGGGACATAAGAGGTTTGAATAATGGAGTTCTCTATTTTCTTGGTAATGAAGCGTTTGTCTATGTCAATATGCTTAGTTTTGTCGTGATGGACTGGCTTTTTGGCAATGCTAATAACAACCTGATTGTCATAAAGCATTTGTATAGACACTTCTTTAAATACTCCCAGCTCGCCAAGTAATCTTTCAAGCCACATCCCTTCACATATGCCAAGAGCTAGAGCTCTGAATTCTGCTTCAGCTGAACTTCTAGAAACGACCAACTGTTTCTTACTTCTCCATGTTACTAAATTCCCCCAAACATAAGAACATAAACTTGAAGTACTCCTATCAGTTACATCTCCTGCCCAATATGCGTCCGTGTAGGCTCTAATATCTTTATTGTCATTCTTCCTAAAAAGAAGACCTTTTCCTGGAGTCATCTTGAGGTATCTAAGGATTCTTGTAACAGCTTCCATGTGTTCCTCAGTTGGATTATTCATGCATTGGCTTACGACACTTACAGGGAAACCAATATCAGGTCTAGTATGAGATAAATGTATAAGTCGTCCCACTAGCCTTTGATATATCCCCCATCCACAAGTGCTCTGCCCATCTCTGATCCAATCTTTTTGTTAGAATCCATTGGAGTTGAGGCTGGTTTACACCAGAGCATTCATGTTTTCTTGAATAAGTCTAGAACATACTTTCTTTGAGAAACAAAAATGCCATGTCTTGATCATGCAATTTCTGTGCCAAGAAAATATTTAAGATAACCAAGATCTTTTATCTCAAACTCCCTTGATAAGAAACTTTGCAAGTTTTTCAGTTCTTTCTTGAAATCACCAGTGAGTATTATATCATCAACATAAACTATGAATACAGCTATCCTTTGATCTTTTGAGTGCTTCACAAACAAGGTGTGATCTGCCTGACACTGAATATAACCATTTTTAATGATTGGTTTAGTGAATTTTACGAACCATGCTCGTGGTGATTGCTTAAGGCCATATAGAGATTTATTCAGTTTGCATACTTTGTTTCGGTTGGATGAACTCTCAAAGCCATGTGGAATAGCCATGTACACTTCTTCTTCCAGGTCACCATTCAAGAAAATGTTCTTCACATCTAGTTGGTGCAACGATCAGTCTCTATTTGCAGCAACGGATAGTAGAACACGAATGGTATTGAGCTTAGCAACTGGAGCAAAAGTCTCTTGATAATCAATCCCGTAAGACTATGTGAATCTCTTAGCAATACGGTGAGCTCTAAACTCCTCAATGCTACCATCCGCCTTATGTGTTAATGGTGAATGCCCATTTACATCCCACTGGTCTCTTTCCAGATGGTAAATCCATTATGTGCCAAGTCACATTCTTCACCAAAGCATTCATTTCATCTTGTACAACGTTTTCCAACTCGGATCAAACAGTGCTTCTTGAATTGTGTGAGGAATCTGTACACTATCAAGACTAGGAACAAATGCTTGATGGGATGGAGATAATGTTTTATAGGACACAAAATTGCCCATGGGATGTTTATTAGTACAATCACGAACTCCCTTTGTCAAAGCAATAAGCAGATCATCATTTATTCCAGTACCACTATCATGACAAGAATTACTCATACCTGAATGTATTTTTGGAGGATCTGAATCCAGTTCCGATTCACGGGGTAGTCTTGTAGATGTGTTCGTTCTTTCTCAGAGTGCCTCCTTTGATAGACACAAAGTTCTTTAGGTTCTGGTTGAGAATTAACAATCGGTAACGATTCAGAGGTGTTTTCAGTGACTTGAGATGAACCGGAGACTTGGTTTTCTATGACATCTTGATGTTCCTGGACTGTCACAGGCCGTGGACTGGTGAGTTCAAGAATAGGCACAGTAGGTGAAATTTCACTCATAGGACTGTTTGGAACAGTAATACCCCAAAGGTGAAATTCACTTCCATTCCCCCTGTTGTAAATCTATTTAAGATTATAACTAAACTAAATATATAAAGATAGAAAAGTAACCCACTATGATAATCAATTGAGCACTACGTATGTTTGTGTGCAAAAGGAAAAAGATGTTTTAATACTACTTCATATATACAGATTATGCATGATAGAAACAACAACTCTACTTCATTAAAATTGAAACAAATGCAAGTATAAATAGGAGACTACTAGGTAGTTAACTATGCTAGTCACTACTCCACTACTCCACTTCGTAACTACCTACTAATGAAATTACCACTACTCCACTAATAACAATTTTAACTAATTAAATTAATTAAAACTTAAAC